TACACCGTAGAAATAAATTTAATTAGACAAGGGGCGAAGAATAGAAAAGAGTCGAAGCAGTTGCTCCACTTTTCCATGGCGGGATATTTGACTTCGTCCCGAATTTATTCTGGAGAGATGTACTCCCGGGAAGACATATTGAATATGAAGAGCGGTCCAGGGGATATTCCGAGCTTTTTCTCGCGAGCAATCCGTCTCTGTCTCTCTTTTTTTGAGCTTTCCTTCTCTGCCGAGCTTTTTTATCTCGGTCAGGACGAATCGCCCCGTTAGCCCCTGGTCATCTCGATTCTTTCCTCGAGGATTCGTCATGTCTTAATTTTCGGCAATTTCGGGAAAGCTCGAGCTTTCGCGAATTGGCCACGTGACTCGCAAGCTCGAAGGCTTCGATTTCGAGTCGCGGCCTCTGGAAAATTGATGGTTCCTTCGCGGGGGGCCATTATTGTCGTGGAGTATTGCCAGGACGATTCATTCACCTAATTCCCCCCGGAAGGGGCAAAAAGTTCCCCAGCTCACGCAGGAAATCCCCCCACCGAGCTTTCATCCCCTATCGAGAACTGTCAAACTGTAAGCTCGAGTGATCTAGGATGCAGCGGAAATTCCGCAGCGAAAGCAGCCCTTCAGGACATTAGCGAATATCGGGGGCAGGTTCAAGAAATGACTTTTTCCACCCCCTTATGCCGGAGTTAAACATCGGTGCGAGAGGGGGCACGAGTTTCCACCCCCTTCGAGGTAGCCCCACGCGCAATTGAATCCTCTGTACATAATTATGCCGATCCTTACCCGCCTTGCGGAAGACTGGCTAAGTGCACCCTCGTTATTCCAGTGTTACGGTCTTCCTAAGGGCGAAATTAGAGGCTCTCTTTCAGGGCTCCTCCAGCTTTGGCCGAGCTTCGCCGAGCTCGGAGCTTTCGCGGGAAATCTAGCCGAAGGGACCTCCGCGCCTCCGTAAGCACGAAAATTAAACGGAAATTACTCTAAGGCAAATGGGTCAATATCGAATGGTCGACCGTCCGAGTATGCCCGGCCTGATATATCGCCACCCCCTCCCACCCGAAGTTTTCCAAACGAATGATTTTCCATCGATTTCCCCGCACTCGCAAATTGAAATAAAAGTGAGACGGGAACGTGCTCGGCGAGAAATCACGGGGAGAGAGAGAGGACGAATCACCGGGCCGATATTTTCCCCCGAAAAATCATTTTCCCCTGATTTTCCGCCCTTTTATTCCCACCCACCGCCCACCGAGGGGGCGACTCCGATCGCGAGATTCTCCCGCAAAAAGTGGGACCGCTCCGCGAACTGGAGCACGGCTAGGTTTGTTAAGTTTATTTCCACGAGAATTACCATAACTCTCCCCCACATCGGCGGAATAACTTCCACCTTACCCCTTGAATAATTTCCCACCCCGTGTGTACGGATATTCCGCCCTCTCTGACGCCCGCCATCTGTCGCCATTTACCGCCGGGGCTCGACTGAAATTCGAAAAAGGCGATTTCCCTATTCCGGATATAATTTCACGCCGATCAATGGATCTACAATCTCGGAGTTTTCATGGATCTGAATGTTTCCGTGGAACCGATCGCGAGTTTCACGGTCCGATCCTCGAAATTTTCATCCCCCTCGATACTGGCCATTTTCCGCGGAAACGAAGGCGCGTCCGTTCTCGCTATCAGCGGGCCCGAGTGATAGCAGGAAAATGTATCGTTTCGATATCAAGCCGCGAATGATAATTAACGATTCGGGATTGTCGGGGACATGTGGAGGGATACCATGAAAATGATTCACCGTATCCGGCGTGCAGGATACGCTCTCGTCCTGGCCAATGAGAGTTTGGCTCGAAGGATCATCGTCCCATGATTTACAGTCCCATTAAATCCCCGATCGCCGACCATAATCGCGACGATCATCGGCGACATTGACAGTGACCCGACATGTCAATTCTACCCCTAAACTGTCACTACTCCACATAGAAAAATCATTCGTCAATTCAGTCCATTAATTAGTAACTAAGTACACGGCAGAATATTCGTAAAACATGTTATCATCGTATATGCATAATGATAAAAAATGTAAATAATTCCCGGGAGCAAGTAATTATCCCGGTGATTAAATCGACATGTCAGATTGTTCATAGGGGAGGGTGCGACGAAGGGTGGGAAGTGAATAAAAATCCTGGCAGAGTTAACATCCCGATACCATTTAAAATCCATATTAAACATTCGTTTCTCCTCGAGCGAGCCATTTATCCAATTTCCATCCGAGAGCCGCATCACTTGTAAAACAAATTATTTCCCCCTGATGGATTTGCTTATGCAATTAATATTCATCCGCCATGTTTGCCCCGGGCGGGTAGGGCCCTTAAAATGCACTCCGTGTCGGCCATTAATCAATTAATTATTTAATCAATTAGCCCCGAACTTCGGGCGGGTAAACAAACCGATCGAATTAAACCGCGGCGATGAATATCGAATTTTGAGAAATTTATTTATCACGGTTATGGATTTATTTATTATCACTTCTGCGTCGGCTTAATTCGCGCCCGGGTGGATTTTTATTTCGGCCCTCCTGGTGGCGATCGAAGCCTGACGTTAATGAAGACAAACAATGACGGATACGACATCGACGCAGATGCAGCATCCCTGGTCCAACCGGTGCATCGGATGCATCGGATGCATCGGGTGCGTCGGCGCACATGACGTTACGGCTAATAAGTGCGTCCAGCCCATAAATTAGTTTCATGGCCCGAGAGGGTCCGGTCCTCCAGGAGGGCGTTCATATTCTCGGGATGAAACCGGAAGTGGGCCGCCTTCGATTTCCCCGGCGCAATACCCCAGGCGATTAAAGATGCGGTGATAACCCCGTGATAACGCCGTGATAACGCGACCCTTAAATCGAATCGCCGAAAGCGGACTCGGCGGGATTTAATATATCCCCAGATTAAGGGAAAAGCTTCTAGGAAAATGAAAAGTGGCAAGACGTAGAACAATCTAATTTATGTATACACGCCATCGCGTTTCCGGTCCCTTTCCTCAGGGTGGAGTGAAAAGTGAATGATGCATCGCTCGCCCAATTTATTTATTTCGCTCCCCCCTGATGTGGGACCACCCTGCAATTTCATCCCCCCCCTGAATCCCGCGTGCGTTTTTTGGATCAAAAATCGAGGGACCGGATGGAACCAGGCGAATGCATATTTTTTTATAAAATTTAACGAGGCTATCCCGGGTAAGTGCATCGATGCCGCCAGGAAAGTGCATCTGCAGTTCTCCAAGGCTCGATGGACCGATAAAACCCTCACTTCTCAGTATTTAAATTAAATATTGAGTGTACAGGTGCTACCAGGCGGAAAAAAAATTGGTCGCATCTTTCCTCGCAAAGTGCATCGAGCGCATCGAGTGCATCTTCGTTCCAGCCGGAAGAGTCGCATTGCGTCCCGCAAGCCCCGGCCGCCATCTTGGATTCGCTTTTTCTCCCTTCCTCCATACTTAATGCCTCTTTTTGCCCTCCTTGGTATCCGGTTAGTTGTCTCTCCCCCCTCGGAATTTTCGAGCCCACTCTACTCTAGGTCGGAGTCTGCATAATTCATCCCCCTATCTGGGACGGCCCAAAATAATTAGGCATCGTTGATAACTACTTGTTGTTCTCCAGGGCTTACTGCCTGGCCGGTAGGAGTGCACCTAATACCCTTTCTGCATGTGCATCCAACTCGAGCAAAATGCCGAACCCCGTTTCGCGATTAACTCTAGATGCAACAATATGGCCATTACTTCCGAAGTTTGCACAAACTATCCAGCGGCCGAAAATTTTCAAATCCACGGATTTCCCCAAAAGTCAGGAAGTTCATATTCCATTCCATTTTGTATCACTCTTTTAACACGTTTCCAAATTTTCTTCACAAAGGAAGACTCAAGAAATTAACGACCAATGATCGAAGGAATTTTAAGGAGCACCCATTCCAAATTAAAAATATTCAATTCCACTTAATATCATTTTTTATATACATTTTTCAACTTTTTCCCCCAAAGAGCGCTCGAAGAATGAATAGCGAAGGGTCAGAAAAATTGTATAGGGCAGCCCTGCGGACACGAGGGTGGGTGTTTAATATTCCTACGTCATCCGTTGACGTTCCCGGCCCGTCAGGGGGTGGATCGAAACCCATCCTTGGACCACAACGGGGTGCAGTCCGAAAATTCTCGTCACCAGGTCGAGGGTCAGCAATTAGAGGTCGCCGAGCGGACTCTTTCCCAATTTTTTCCGGCCCTGTTTCTATTTTTTCTCTCCTTTATTTCATTTTCCCCCGCTTTTCTCCATTCGAGCACGGTTTTTCTTCGTCCTGCTGGGACGATTCAGCCACTCCCATTCGAAATCGGCGAGCTCGCTTTCGTCGAGATCGCTTAATGAAGCGCCTCTAATTGGGGACCTCTCTCGAATAGAAGCGAGGCCAGGAATTTCGACTGTGCGGATTAAAAAGGCCGGAAGGAACGGCGGAATTATTCCGGAAAAAAGCGCAGGCCGATTGGATACATTTCAGATGGCCGATAGCGGCCGTGTCCGCGCGGACTGTCCGCCCGAAATTTGCGGAAAACCTAACGCGGTGTCACGGTCGGGACGCGGAAACGACCGGCCCGCGTTTCGCGTCCAGCTTGTGGAATAATCCGCATCGAGGTCCAGGCTTGGATAATTTCCCTTTTTTCCCGAGGTTTTCCCCGCACATTACGAGTACCAAATAGTTCACTATAAACAAATCCTTGGAAACCAGGAAATCATCCTTACCGCATATATTACGATATTCCGCATCCGCAGATCATAAACGTCTTTTAGCGCACGTGTAAACGCGGACAGATCTTAAAAGAAAAAAAAAAAGAAACTACGAAGACGTACCTCCCTGCGCCTTCGCGATGGGAAAAAATTCGGGAAAAAATCGTAAAAAATTGAGAAAAAATTCAGGAAAATCATTAGAAATTGGGGAAAATCCTAAGAACTAGGACTGTAACGTATGACTCACCGACGCAGACCAAAACGACCGTCAGGAAGCTCGGCAAGAAGAAGGCCCTCAGCGAGACCGCCGCCGCCATGGTCCCTCGTTGATGGAACTCTGAACAGTTCGTAATTCGCGCACACCTCACTCGGTCACTGCGAACTCGCTTCTGCGAGTAACCAACCAAGGAGCCCAGTTCCCTCTGTCGATCCTTCCCCTCCCTCGGATCAATGTTTACGAAGATCGAAAACAAATAAATCCGCCTCGGCGACCTCGACGCCTCTTCGAAGCAAAACCTTCAGTTCTTCGCTGATCCTTCGATCAGAGATGAAAAACTAGTACCCCTGGTATCCCGCCGGTTAAAACGGATAATTGTCCTGGAATTATCTTAGGGTGTGGAGATAGTTTCTCCTGGATTGATCCCAGGATCGAGATTTATCCTCCGGCTCTCTGAGGTACTCTTGGACTTCTGGTCCCGATCGGGCGCTTTGGGGGCTAGGTTTATCGGGGAGGTGCCGATTTCTGGATTTTCTTCCGGTCCCGGTCGACGACGCCGGTCTTCTCCAGGGCTCCACTCTTCCTCGCTGGGTCTGCCGCGGCGTCGCCGTTCGACTGGCACGCACCGCTGGTAAGGCGGGACCGCGGATGGGACTCGGTAGGAGGGCGCGCCCGCGCTCTTCCGCGACCCGCGGTACCTCCTCTTACAGAGTTCCGATCTATAATAAATATTAAATTGCAGAATTGACTAAAGTGACATGAAAGTCTTACATATACGTAAGAAAAAGTTTAAATCTTTATAAAACTTTTCCCCAAACTGGATGCACCGAATCATCCGAGGGTTTAACACGTGATTACAGAGGGCCAGGCGCTGCACGTGAAACTTCAATTTTCATCAATAAAAAAAATTCTCCCACTTGTCTCGTACAATAAAAAAATGAAATTTCACGAGCGGGTTCTTCCTTAGGGCCTCCATAATCTCCTGACAAAGCCTCGAATGATATGGCACACCCCCAATTTGGAGAAAAATTTTATTAATATCTGGACTTTTTGGTATGTATGACACTTTCGTATCACCTTAAGGTGAGATTAGAAAAAGAAAAATTCACGGATGGAACGGAGGGTAATAGGATTGCATTAAAGTCACCCCGACGGATAGTCGGCAATGGACATTTCCTTAATAAATGCTCCGCGGTCTATGAAATAAATTTCCATCCGGAGTTCGACCCTAGTTTGCATAATTGTTGAGATAAATCAAGTCCCACCCTTTCTATCAACTCATCTCCCTCTTCTCCTGTGCGCGGTGTCCTATAAAAAAAGTCTATAAAGCCCCTATAAACTCCCTATAAATCCACCATAAATCCCCAGTTTTCATCTCCTTCCCTCTTATCGTCACACCCTGGTCCCTCGTTATCAACTTATCACCGACAAATCGAGGATCGGCATTGCGTGTTTCGGAGGTGCATCAGCCGCAGCGCGGGCCAGGTATTTCGCAGTCGGCCCGCAGGTCGCCCGCATGCGGATTCTCCGCCGCACCTGCGGAAAATCCCATGATCGATGCACCCTCTCTCGTGTGGGCTTGTCGATGGGAATGCAAGTCTTGTTTGCATGTGAGCTCTCTTGTCGACCCTCGGCAACGTGAGCTTCTGTAAATAGATACTCCGTTGAGGGACTCCCTAAAATTGGCGAATGGTTTCGGGGATGATGCTTAAGGGTAGATGACGATTCGAGAGGGTGTCGGATGTGAAAGGGCTGCGACCGAGAAATTGGCGAATAGTTTCGGGGATGATGCTTGGGGGTAGATGATGATCCGAGAGGGTGTCTGATGTGAAAGGGTTGCGGCCGAGAAATTGGCGAATGGTTTCGGGGATGATGCTTAAGGGTAGATGACGATTCGAGAGGGTGTCGGATGTGAAAGGGCTGCGACCGAGAAATTGGCGAATAGTTTCGGGGATGATGCTTGGGGGTAGATGATGATCCGAGAAGGGTTGCGGCCGAGAAATTGGCGAATAGTTTCGGGGATGATGCTTAAGGGTAGATGACGATTCGAGGGGGTGCCGGATGCGGAAATGTTGCGGCCAAGTCGGCTTCGAGGGCTCGAAAGTGCGGAGAAAGAGAGAGAGGGATTTCACATCTGAACCCTTAAAAGAAGCGGAAATAAAAGACGCGTGATAAAAAGTTTCATAATTTTAAACAGAGAGGCGGGCGATGAAAGTTTCATATTTTTTTATGAGCGACCGTGAAAATGATATGAAATTTCCCGGGGAAGGAAAGAAGAATTGAGAAACCCCGAGAGGGCGTTTCTTGTAAGGGAACGAACGACGGAATGTTTTCTTCCGGTTTTTATTAGATATCCTGGAAATAAAATAAATTTCCTAGGGGCCAGAGAGTTCATTTTCGAGGTGTAAAATGTGAGCATTCCCCTGACTTCGGATCTCTCTACCCACTTACACTTCATGACTAGTGTAAGTAGAAACTCGAGATAACCGCGACGTATGACCAAATTTATGGAGTGATTTACGAGCACTCCTCGACTGCGGCCGATAAAACAGAGAATTGGAGCAGCTGCAGCTGGTGCCTCCATCTGATGACCAGCTGCAGAGCCCCGACCAGAAATTCAGCTGAAAATCTGGCCCGTGAGCATCAATCGATACCAAGTCCCGAAACAATCTCACCTGACATAATTTCTCAAAATTACAGGACAAACTTCAAATCATAAACCCCCTTTAAAAAAAAATAAAAACGAGGGAAAAATGTCAATCCATCAACCTCCAAAAATGTAGCCCTCGTGCGCGTCTTCAGGAACGAAAAATGTGAACCCCAGGACCTCTCGACCGGAAGAATAGAAGGAAAATTCTTTAGGGCAAAATTTCATGGGAAACTCTTCAGGAGCGAAATTTCTTGTAATTGAAAATTAAATAATGAGCAAATCCGGGGAAATCGTGACAATTTTCGTGGGCCAAGCTGGCACGCAAGTGGCGAACGCTTGTTGGGAGCTTTTCTGTTTGGAGCACGGGATAAGACCCGATGGCTTCCTCCACAGAGGATACAAAGTGCAGGACAATTCCTTCCTGACATTCTTCATGCCTTCACAGGTAATCGCAGGTTAATTCTAACGATGCATAAAGTGACCTCAGGGGTTTCCAGGTGGGAAAGATGACGCCGAGGACCGTGATAGTGGACCTGGAGCCGACAGTCGTGGACGAGATCAGGACAGGTGCTTATAGGAACCTATTCGACCCCTCGACTCTGATAACAGGGAAGGAAGACGCCGCGAATAATTATGGCAGGGGATATTACACGATCGGCCAAGAAGCCATCGACTTAGTCCTAGACAGGATCCGAAAAGTCTGCGAAGGTTGCCCCAATTTCGCAGGATTCATCGTCTTCAGGTGCTCCCCTGATGCCTTGAAATTCTATCACGGTCCAGCTTGAGATGATTTTAATAATTGTTATTAAAAAAATAAGGGCAGCGTGGACAATCATTTTCGCATAGGGCACATGATCGAGAAGAGATCGATCAGATCCTGGCAGGATTCTGAGATCGCTTTCGTTATCAGACCCTCTCAGGACGTTATAAAATAATACCACGTGGGTCCAGCGTGACGCAAATTCATTACCATTGTTACAAGAGCCATGCACCGTCGCAATGCCATTCCGATAACGTTAATCGGGGGTTATCGAATTCCTTTTCGCTCCCCGACAAATTTCTCCGCTCGTTGCGTCTGTTCTTATCGCGTTTCCTGATTCAGAGCCTTTGGCGGAGGAACGGGCAGCGGCTTAACGACCTTGATGATGGAGCATTTAACAGCTGATTACGGAAACGTCACCAAGCTGGACTTTTCCATATATCCTGCGCCGAACATTTCGACGTCCGTGGTGGAGCCATACAACGCGGTCCTGACGACCCACGGGATCCTGGACTTCGAGGACTGCTGCTTCCTGGTGGACAACGAGGCCCTCTACGACATCTGCGCGAGGTCCTGAGAAATACAATCCAACTGGAACATCATAACCCAATAATCCCCTCTAATTTGGACGATGTACTTGCAACTGGTGTCTCTTTAACATTTTTATCCAGGAACCTGGACGTCGGCCGACCAACATACACGAATTTAAACCGACTCCTGGCGCAGGTGATCTCTTCCGTGACATCGTCCCTCAGGTTCGAGGGTGCGATGAACGTTACCCTGGACGAGTATCTGACGAACCTGGTGCCCTATCCCAGGATACACTTTCCCCTGGTCTCGTACTCGCCTATCACGACCCCCCGCAAAGCCATGAGCTCCGCAATGTCCATCAACCAAATAACTTACGAGTGTTTCGAGCCAGCTAATCAGGTCATGTCAAAAAGGAGCTTTTATCGGTTCTTCGAGAGGTTCTCGAGTCCGCCTATCGCATCCGATTACTCCGAAGCTTCCTATCTTTGAGTCTTTCCTCGAACCTGGGAGCGAAAATACCCGCTCGAGGAACGACATTAACAAAACAGTCTCCGAGAACAAAGGACGAGGGGGGATCTTTTTTAATACCTCCCTCCGACAGATGGTGAAGTGCGATCCTCGTCGGGGGGCATACATCAGTTGCTGTCTGATGTACAGAGGGGATGTCAATCCGAACGAGGCGAACAAGACTATCCAAGCTCTGAAAGGGAAGAGCTCGATCAAATTCGCCGAGTGGAGTCCCACTGGCTTCAAGGTGCCTTAGAAAAATCTTCAGATTTTTGTTACCACCTTCCAAAGAAGCGAGAAAAAATTTCAAATCGACTATCAACCATCGGAGGATTTTTTTCATTCGGATGTCATTCTACCCTAAATCGCTCCTAATCATTGTTTTAATTCCCGCCCTGCATCAATATATTTTCTCCTTATTTTTGGAATTAATCCATGCAAAGGATTTATTAAAATTCCCACTTTTTGTTACCTTGCAAAGAGGGGAGAAAAAATGTGCAATCGACTATCAACTATCAGAGGATTTCTTTCGTTCAGATATCTTTCTACCCCAAATCGCTCCTAATCATTGTTTTAAATCCCGCCCTGCATGAAAATATTTTTTCCCTGTTTTTGGCCTTAGTCTCAGCAAAGGATTTTTTAAAATTCCCAGCTCGGTATCAACTATCAGCCCCCCACAGCAGTCCCAGGAGGAGACCTAGCAAAGACGTACAGATCAGCGGTGATGTTGAGCAACAATACATCGGTGCGTCATGCCTGGTCAAAGATCGGTCGGAAATTCAACCTGATGCTGAAGAAAAGAGCTTTTTTGCACCATTACATCGGCGAGGGCGTAGAGGAAGGCCTCTTCGAGGAGGCGAAGGACGACCTGCTGGCTCTTATCACCGACTACAAGGAAGTCGAGAGCTGAGGAGGAGCTCCGACGAAACTCCAAGAGACACGAAGAGCTGGCATGATCCGATGACTCGCCATCCCGGGAAGAACCGCCCAGGAGTCACCTTCTTCGGGGTCGACGCGAAGGCTCTAGCCGGTGATAAGGCCGGTGATAAGAAAACGAGTCTCGACCGCCCCAGACTCACCGGCACTGGTAGCGCCCGGCTCGCGGAATCAGGCTATCGATACCCATCGAGACATCGACTCTATTGACTTTAGAATCGACGAGAACAAACTTGAAGTACTTACATTGCTCGATAAAATAAATCCCCAGCCGGGGGTCCCCTGCTTGAATTCTTAGACCGATGACCTCGTATCGCATGACTCGGTAGCATTGTTCGTGATATCGGTTTCTGCGGCATCAAAAATGACTACGGAATTATCACCTGGAACATGCTATAAATATATCGAAAATTATGAAAATTAGTCTAATAAGGTCGGCGAGGAGGAAATTAAAAGCACTTAACCCTGGTCGTCATGTAGAGAAGGGCCTGAAACCGTTCCCGTGATACCAGCTGATAAGTCACCGAAACCCTGACACGAGGACAAAGACGAATAAATATTTTTATCTAATAACGAGGAAATTCAATAAACATATTTACACCCCGATTTATTCAATTTAGTAAATTAACGTCGGCGAAGACGAAATTAAAAGCACTTAACCCTGGTAATCACTTGGGACGTTCCCCATGATACCAGCTGATAAGTCACCGAAACCCAGAAATGAGGACAAAGACGAATAAATATTTTTATCTAATAACGAGGAAATTCAATAAACATATTTGCACCGCGATTCGCACCCCGTCTGGGAGATTCTTTCTGCGATGGACCATCGTTTCGAAATTCCACTGATAAGGAAACGGGACCATGACCCTCAGGAAAGTCCAGGAGATACGAGAGCTCCTTCGCACCCGATTCGCGTGGCAATCGATCCCCGGCGTATCGATATTAAAATCGAATCCGCCCGATCGGTCGACGGCGAGGGCTTATCGCTCCTTATCAGGCTACTACTGGGCTAAATTTGTCAAAGTCGTGTCGAAAGTCTACTCTCAGCCCACCGGAAATTGGGAATCGAGATCACGCCAAGAGCGAGTCGGGTGATATCGATTCCTCCGATAACAATCTACCCTAGTCATGCCCATTTCCGGAATTATGCCGCGTAAGCGAAATATCATTTTTAAAATATTTTTCATCCTTAAATTTTTCATCATTAAACATTTTTTTTTATATCTTTTTGGTCATACGAAAGCCGCAGCGACAGCGTGTCGAGGACTTTTCACTTGTGTCAAGAGACGCACATTCGACTAGACGGGAATTTTGGAAAAAAAATTCAGGACTTAATCAACGAACGCGACCCGCAAAGCCGATAATCACACGGGTCATGTCGCATCTGCTCGTAATTCTCGTACAAACTTTTCCGCCGAATGTGACGCGACACTTCACGAGAATTCCCCGGAATACGAAGTCTCTCCGAAAACCCTATAATAATTCTCCCTGATAATAAATTATTCCACAAGATTGCAGACTAACTTTTTGCCCAATAAATTCCATCCCGAAGTAATTGCCCGTTCAATTGAGACTGCTGAGAAAATGGTTCTACAGTGCCGGAGAATACATTATAAATTAATACTCGGTTCGTACCATTTGCAGGAATATTAAAAAAAAAAAAGAGAAGAATTAAATAAAGTATCCCGGATGCAAGTCGGTCGCGATTAGCGGATTTATGATGATTCAAGTATATCTGATCATCGGCGTATCGATCAGATGTGCATTCATTCAAAGTAGTATCGAAGAAATATCCGTCGATCCGAATATTCGATAAGATATCGATAAATAATTGTACCCCGGATATGACGGAAAGTCCCGGGTGATTCCGGGCAATTTCGCGCTTTTCGACGAACAGAGTGATTATTAATTATCATTAATAATCCCAGGAGTTGCAGCCGAGGCGCGATGTCACGTCATGATCTGCAAGGTGTAAATACAATGTGCCTGTACTTATAATCGCACCTCCTCTATGATATGAAATGACATTTCTATGATAAGGAATGACTACCACGAGTCGCTTGGGAAATCATATCTACCGGGTAAAGTGGACTTATGCCGTTTTCCCGGGCACAGGTAACAATTGTCGCAGTTATCAGAGTCAAGAGAGAGATATCTCGGATAATAATAGAGGAGTGCTCACGATAGGTGCACGCGCCTCCTCACCTGTCGAGTGCGTGTCATTGCGCTTTATGAGCTTCACTTTTAATCCAGGATTTTATCCCCGGGGAATTTCACAAGTGCGTCTTATTATTACCCGCGTATCCCCTTAACAAACGCAAGCAAACGAGCGGGGTCGCAAACAACTGTCGAAACGGCATTTATTATAAACAATCATGTGCGTCACTCGAGGGGCGGACCCGAATCATCGATCAGATGACACAATCGCTCCTCAAATTTTCGATCTTCCCAATCAATTACTTCCTACGTCTAAGAAATAGCGAATCGACGAATTGCAATCGATGCCTCTACGATCTTCGCACCTAGATCCAAAGTGTGCTAAAAATCGCTCGACTGACGTTAATCCCTTATCAATGATCGATCCGTCCGACGTCATCCGGGGAGCTATCGATTTCGCTCCGTCCATGCTAGCTCCGCGCAATTCAATATTTTAATTAATATCTCCCTCCACTTCCAAATGAATTCCTCAAACAAATTAAAAAAAAATCAAAACAATCTATATATAACCCGAGATACACAATAAATCCAAAAGAAAAGGCTCAATCAAATCCCCGAGAACGTCAGAAAATTTTGGGGAAAAATCCGGAAAATTCATTGAATTCCAGATTTCCTTTCGTTGAGGCCCTATTTTCATTTATTGAAGGGAATTGGAAATATGAGAACAATTCCAGATCGAGGACCGAGAATGAGAAGAAATATGAATAATTGTAGGAAAGGTAGTAAATTATCAGCCGCGCCGATACCGGCGATAAGGCTCGTCTACTGGTCGTCCCGCAAGAAAAGTCCAGCTCGCAGTCGACGCGTGGTGTCTTTATCTAAATCCAAAGTGTTCTAAAAATCGTCCCTCCGCCCCCTCGCCCCCGCGGGGGGTCGTGATGAATGACGCGAAAGTGCGCGCAAGCGCGGAGTGACGTTGCGCAGCCGAGCCGTATAAATGGCGGGACCGATGGTCGTTTCCTCAGTGCAAGAGTTCTTCTCGTTCACTCAATCACGAATGAGGACTAGGCAGAGGCTCTCCTAGCCCTCGTAGCTCCCACAATATAACTGCCCGGTTATATTTCCAACTCTAGTCATCCTCTTCAGTATAAAGCTCTAGTCTTCAAGGTGAGTCCATCAAGCTCCGAAATTAAGAATGGTATAAAAATTCAGGGAAAAAGAAGAAATAATCCGAAAATATTTAGAATCGAGGACGAATCGATACCGTGAGAAATACGTGGGTTCTTTAACAAAAGAAGCTTTTTACATATTTATTACTCCGATATCGAAGGCAGATCTGTTCCTTAAGGTCTTCGATTTAAATTCACCCCTTTCGGGTCTTCCATTCCGAGGAATTGAATTTCATGGGGGTTTCCGGTACTCTGTACTCTTCCTATTGAAGTTAAACAATGGGGATGTTGAGTGATATAGTTGAGCGATAGTGGTAAAATCGGGGGAGATACTTAGGGGTGGAGGAGGAACGGAGCGAGGGGACGCGGCTATTGGCTGGTTTTGTTTTTCATGGTCCGTGGGTCTTTGATATACCTCACAGGGTATTACATTGTCAGGTTTGAATGTTGAGATGATAAAGTGGTGGAAAGAATGCGCGAAAGGGGGTTTCACCGTGGACAGGGGTGGGTGGGTGTAATGGAACGGCGCGGGGGTGGAAGGGAAAAGCGCTGACTGGATGCCCCCGGAATACAAAGGGGTGCAATCGCCCTGAAATTCAAATGAAAGGTCCACAGGGGATGCCTCGACTGCATGCACCTCCACCCCCCTGTCGGGGGATGAAACGAGCCGCGTTGCGATCTCTGAGAGAACTCTTCGTGGTCCTTTCATCCGACTTCCGGGTCCGCTCGTCCTCGGCACCCTTCTTCCCGAAATTTCGGCCGCCCTTTTCTCCACCCCACGAACGTTTCCGATATTTCCAGTTGGGGGTTGAATTAAAAAAAAAAAAAAAGAAAAAAAGAAAAAGGAACCGAACGATCTTCTTCATCTTGCAGATGCTGATCGGTGGAGCAGTGAGCTACGTGGCCGGCAAACAGGCAGTGCGGACGATTTACTGGAGAACCGGAAGCAATGGCCGGCTCCTGAAGACAGCGAAGACATGCATGTTCCAAGGACCCCCCAAACCAGCACCCTCTTCAACATCGGCGACCGCCTTCCCGGCGCAGTCCCGGCTGGACGCGATCCCCAAAGTCATCCTGAACGCGAAGAACTAATTAACCCCTCCGCCTGGGAGTCGTCCTTAAATACCGACCCTCTGTACATAATCGCTGGACCTAAGTGCCGACCAATCTTGCTGAGCGGCATGACCGTGGAATAAAGAGCCTTATTTATTTACCAAAAGTTCTCGTCAGTTCTTCTGCTACCTCTTCCCCTCTTCGTATCTTCCTTCGGCGTCGAGCAGAAACGTCCCTGGTTTTTCTACGAGGTTGTAAGCGTGCTCGATAAGGCCGATAACGGCGAACCAGGCCATCGACCCGGAAGCCCGGGGACGGGTCAAGAGTTCGCCGGACGTTGTCTCCCCTCGTCAAATGATTCCAATGTTTGCAAACAAATTCGGCACCTCGTTCCGCAAAGTTTCCGCGGATCGGAGTTAAGTGCACTGCCCGATTGTCCCGAAATATGCAGTCGGCCCTCCCGTGAAATTCCACTGGGAGTCGCGGGTATCTCGGGATTTGCGTCACAGGAGCGATTGCGGGTTATCAGAGCGTATCAACCCTCCTCGGCCTTCTTTAACCTCGCGTGACTCCCGGGTCACCGATCTTCGGCTTTCTCTTCAGGTTCTTATCGGTGGAGGGACTGTTTACGCTTCGGGCAGACATTTCCATATCTCGGTGATGAGGTTCCTCGGGAAAGAGACGAGAGACTTCCACCCCTTCGCGACCTCTTCGTCTTCCTCTTCGGCATCCCATAATTCAAGCACCGACTCACCGAACACGCTCGCGTAACAATAACAACCGTTACATAACTTTTTTAACATATACTGTAACATACATATAACATATATAAGTAAGATTTGCAATATTATTCCCCCCGCAGGTATATAACACTGTTATATAACGAATAGTGCAACGTACACATAACATATCGGTAAAGTGTTACATGTTATGTTAATGTTATGTCATTGCAATGCTCACAAGTTTGTAACAATGTTACGGTAATCATTCGACGTTGTATGACATTAATGTATCTTTCTAATAACATTCGTCACGTGTCATGTTATTCCAGTGTTGTGTTAATGTGACATAGGGTGTTTGGTAAGAATCGACGTTTCCATTTCTTTAAAAAAAAAAGGAAAAAAAAAGAAAATCGAGCAGACTACCTCGAGGAGCCTTTTCAGCGTCTCGAGTTCCACCTTCGTGGCTTCGCCCTCGCGTGGCTCCAAAGACTTCCTCTTCGTCCCCCTCTTCAGGTCCGGAAGTGAATCGACTTTTCCCGGAGATGTTCCTACTTCTCGTATAAAAGTGGAAAAAGCCATCGGGGATCCCTCGAAAGTGGGACCCCGAGGAGGTCGAGCCCGCAAACTCTAGATCCACAATTCCACATCTCCTTATCATACCCAAATTGTAGGATTTAATGTATATTAATAAAATAAAGCCGAGTTAACAAATATTGGACAAATGAAATTTCATAAAACGAGAGCAAAGCCTAGTAGACGGATAGTATTGGTTTCATGTAATCGCTGTTAACGCGTATCCTTATCAGCGCCGCGCGATAACCGGCTCGACTCTTCGGGAAGGAAGTGCGAGTTTCGCTGCTAGAAAACTATTGAATGATAAAACAAAAAAAACAATTAGAAATCGCCAAGACGGCGGAAATTCGCAGATCGAGCCGCGTTGAGTCCTGAGGACACCTTTTGCGCTATCGGGCCTAGGGTCGAAGAGGTCACTGATAAGACTTCGCAAAAGTGCAACTACGTCAAGCTTAGAGTGCACATCTGGAGTGCATGGGAAAGACATGCGTGTCCACGTGCGTGTATGCGTGGATGTGCACGAGGAACAAACGTGGACATCTTGTTATCTCTGTATCACGAGTCGAGGGTCGAATCCAACCTTTGGTGATAAGGAAAATCGGTCTTCACTTTGCGGTCTGTATCCTGATTTTGGCCCTGGATAACGACCAGGAAATGGTTCTCGATAACATTTTCCCGATTTTCCACTTTCTGCAAGATCAAGAGAAAGACCCTAAGGTCGATTTTCCTCGTAGTTCCTGACATTCCGCCGAAAGTTCTAAATAATTTCCACCCCGGGCCGGTAAGGCAGTTCCCTGCGCTTCCAGGTAAATGGACACCACCCTCCCTCGGGAGGCGACACCAGAAAATCGCCTCCACGGGATTCATAATTAACAAGGTCAACTTTGGAAAGAGGGTCGGACCCTCTTCCCCGGAATAGCCCCCGAGGGGAGGTCTAAATGCGTATCACCAGGTGTTATTAACATTGGTGTATCAATTTCGGGAGTCTCTTCGGCTTCCTTGGAAGTCCCGCGACGAAGGCTCCCACCTTCCAGGGGGGGTGATAACGCCCCAACCAAGGGCCGATGCACCGATAACGCCGATGCGCCGATATCTCGGTGCTCGTCCACGCGACAAACCCCGCCGACATCTGGGTCACTCGTAATCCGCTGAGAAGCTCACTAGAGGGTCAAGGTCCTCTTCAGGGTCGGTCGCGATAAGGATTCCCGTATCGCCTCGGCTGTTGAACAGACACTTCCATTTGCCGTCCATTTTTCATTAGGATTCTTCCCAAGAGATGAGGAAAATGGGTCTCGTCTTCGTAGCCCATCCTGGACCACCCAAGACCCAGACCGATCTCGCCCATACTCTTCCCCAGAAGGTCCTCGGGATCGACCTGAACGAGACGTCCCGTGATCTCCTCCAGGTCCCTGCCTTTCCTGCGGCAGATAAGCAGCCCAAACCGGAAGCGGATGGTAAACCAGAGGCAAAATTAGCCAACCTCGGATCCCCTCCACGAGGAACCCGGAAGTGAGGGTAAATTCGAGTGCGCGCAGGAGTGGAAGCGGAAGAGGGTATCGATTGTCCGGTTCGAAGGTGGTGGCGCCGTTTCCGGCGGAGGGCGCCCCTTTGTCGGATCGCGGCCCTGGGTTCGCGGGGGGTCGACCTCGCGCCGGCGCACCAGGGGCGTTATCGATCCCCCCGAAGAAGGCGCACGGTGTGGGCCATCGATTGGGACGAGTCAGCTAAAGGGATTGGAGCCAGCTCTCGGGATACGACGTAGAGAGCGGGAGCGCATGGTGTAGGGTCGCAAAAAGGTCGGCTCGGCAAGTGGGGAAACTCGGGCGAGGGCGCGAGTCAAGCCTCCGGGGAAGGGCCGCGTCGAGGAGGTCAAAGGACGCGCCGACCATGCAGAACTACGGGCACGAGGACTACGACTACGGGGCCGACCAGGGGCCAGGGTTCGAGGGGCCCGGGAGGACCCTGCCCCAGGTCCCAGGAGTCCGGCCCATGGTGGACCCCGAGGCCCAGGGCGAGGTGGACCCCGAGGCCTATCCCCAGCCCAAGGAGGCCACCCACAAGATCCGCGGCAAGAGCGACTTCCTCGAGTACCTCTTCGGCTCCGTCGACCAGGAGCTCCTCACCGTCAAGACCTTCTACTTCTTCTTCTACTCGGCCTTCGGCTCCCTCTTCCCTCTCATGGGAGTCTACTTCAAGCAGATGGGCATGAACGCCGCCCAGTGTGGCCTCCTCATGGGGTTGCGACCCTTCGTCGAGTTCCTGAGCGCGCCCTTCTGGGGCTCCCTCGCCGACAGGTCGGTCCGAGGCCTTCTTAAGGGGACGCGAATGTGAAATGAAAATTTACGCGATATGAACATGGAAATTATAAGCAAGGTCCTGACCCCCCCGTGAAAGTGCAAATTTTTAAAATTATTATCCAGACATTTTGAACGCATTTATGAAAAATTACACTTCAAGGGACCTTCCTCGTGGCCTCCATGTTCACGTAACAAAGTTTCACATGTCTACCATACATCCAGATCGGAGAGAAGTATCACGAGCGATCGGACGCCACTTTCGCATCCCCTTAACCCGTTGAATAAAATTAATTTTAGGATCTTTCTTTTTTATCTATAAGTTCTATAAACATATATCATGCGCTTCGTAAACTTATCGCTGCAGGTGGCAGAAGGGCAAGCTGATCCTGCTGGCTTCGATCTCCTGCTGGATCATCTTCACCCTGCCCATGGGCTTCATCCAGCCTCCGGCCACCTCCTGCATGACCCGGAAGAACAACACCCATTACCTCGAAGTGCCATCCCCGGACCAGCGGATAGTGAAGAGGTCCGCGGACCTGGATGAATATTGCCAACAGGACGAGGACTCGGAATACCTTGAGGTCGCCGATAACGTGGTCTTCGAGAGACTGAGAAGAAGCGTCGACGACAACGAGGTCGGCTCCGAGTGGGGACCGGGGACGAAGAAGCTGGAGAAGACGTACGACCTCGACACCAACGAGATCCAGGGTAGGTCTTACGACCTGGAGAACAACAGGGTCAGGAGGCAAGTCCCTGGAACGGAAGGCACCATCGGTGATCTGAGATACGAGAGATTCGTCGCCGACAACTCGGCCACCGAGAACCCTGAGGAGCCGGCCCTCGACTTCGAGACTCTGCACAGGAACAACAGACCTGCCGACGTCCTGGAGTACAAGCGGTTCCTGAAGGTAGGTGGCCAATTAGTCGGAAATAAATCCTGAGCCCTGAACCGCGTTACCAAGGGTCTTCAATCCCGACCCTGGTTCTTCGAGTTCGACCCCTTAATCCATTGAGAATTCCCCGGGTGTAGAACGAATCTCCGGCGGACCCGAAGGAGGAAGGCAAGCCCCCGAAGAAGGCCTACACCAGGACGAAGACGCGCACAAAACCTCCGCCTGTGAAGATCATGGTGAAGAGGGACCTCGGGGCAGAAGACCACCCGTCCAGGACCTCCAGGCGCATGATGTCCCTCGGCAGCGAGGAGTCCTATGAAGACGAAGACGAGGACGAGGAACCCGAGGAAGAGCAGATCCTTCGGCCGAGGAGCAGAAGGAGCGCCAAGATGCCGCATCCTTCGGCAGGACAAAGTCCTTTGGCGGTGACTTACGCCGCGAATTACAACGAGAAGGAGCACAAGGGATGGGTGAAGCCCCTCTTCAGCTCCATCGTGTACAGACTACCCGTAAGGAACAATTATTAATTATTTAATAACACACCTTAACCTGAGGATTCCACGAAAAATCTGCCCCTGTTCCCAGGACATCCAGAAGACGTTCTTCCTGCTGCTGCTCCTGGTGGTGGTCGGGGAATTCTTTTCGGCCCCAGCCATCACCTTGGCGGACTCCGCGGTGATCACTTTACTCGGCGAAGACGCCGACAGGTGAATAGGATAGCCGATAGTCATGTAGTCGAAAATCAAATCTCGATTGATAATCCAGGTACGGACATCAACGCATGTTCGGAAGTCTCGGCTGGGGTTTGGCCATGTTCTTCGTGGGCATCGCCCTGGACCACAGCACCGCGTTCCCGGATCACCCTTGTGGCCCCGACGCCAGAGAGAAGAACTACACGATCTGCTTCGCCATCTTCAGCGTCCTGATGGGAGCTGCGCTGATCACGGCGACGCAGATTAATTTCAAGTACGAATTTGTCGCAGCCGAACCGGTAAGTGGAGTTCCCAAGGAAGAGGCTCCTACCCCTAGAGGTTCAACGGTCCGTTTGCCCATCTTCAGGAAGTGGACAAGCCACCAGCCGAGCCAACGAGGGAGGAGCAGCTGCAGAGCCAGCTCTCTCAGCAGCTGAATCTGCCAGGTCTCCAGGATTCGTCGTCAAAGCCCTACCCAAAGCCGCAGCCTCCCGAGGGAAAGGTCGGGCACCAAGCTCCTCTTCAAGGTCCGGGTATCCCGAAAGTCAGGGTTCTCGGTGGTAAAGTCTCCCCGTCCATTTTGCAGACGAAAATGTTCGCCCAAACCACGAGGGAGATCCCGGAGTGGGTGACGGTGCTGAAGCAGTTCAAGGACCTGAAGTGCGCCTCCTTCCTCTTCGTCGCCTGGTTCATGGGTTTCGGCATCGGGCTGATCTTCACCTTCCTCTTCTGGCACCTGCAGGACTACGGGGGCACGCCGACCCTCTTCGGCGTGGCCTCGGTCATCAACCACATTTCCGAGATCTTCGCCTACTTCTTCAGCTTCAAGCTGATCCGTCAGATCGGCCACGTCAAGGTGGGGATTTCGCGTCTAAATCTCGGCTTCCCGTGACCTTATAAAAAATCCTCAACCTCTTCAGGTACTATGTCTGGGCTTGGGAGGGAACGTCATTCGTTTCCTCTACATCTCCTGGCTGAAGAACCCATGGTGGGTCCTGCCCTTCGAGTTCATGCAAGGAATCACCCATGCCGCAGTCTGGGCAGCTTGCTGCAGCTACATCGCCCACAACACTCCACCCCAGCTGAGGTCCAGTGCCCAGGGTGTTCTTCAGGGTCTTCATCATGGTCTAGGTCGAGGCTGCGGGGCCGTGATCGGCGGGATATTCGTTGCGTGCTACGGTACGTAACTCCACCCCGACATGAAGTTCCTAAAAAGAAGCTTAAAACGTCTTCGCAATGAATTTCTATCAGCATTCCATGATTATCCAAACTCCCTTCAAAGCCTCGGTGTCCTTAAAGTTCCGCCGTACACTCCAATGTCTTCGTATCCAAATTTTAACAGGCACCACGGCGACGTTCAGGGGGTACGGCCTCATCTGCCTGTTGGTCTTGGCCACCTTCATCTTCATCAACTTCTACAGGAAGGACACCGGCTTCGTTTCGGACCTCCCTCAGACCGAAGATCCTCATCAGGTGGCGGAAGCCACGCATCTCGCGCCTCACGGGGTCCCCAGCAACGCGATCCCAAGGGCCCTCAGCTCCAGCAGACTCCATGAACTAGCGAACCAGGATTCCGGATACGGTGCGACCTACCAAACCACCGGAGGAAACCTAAACGTCCCGGGTGGGAACGGGGGTAGGTCGAAAACCCATAGACCCCCTGAAAACAAAAGAGAACCATTTCACCGGCACTTTAAGAAGTTCCACCGACACACACATACTAATTTCCGAAATCATTCCAGGAGGGTATGTGCCTTAACAATGAAGAATCCTAATCTTTTTTATCAAATCTCTAGGAGCAGTCAACCCGACGAATCCCTTCCTGAACGGCTCCGTCGGAGGAGGTGGAGGTGGAGGCGGCGGGGGTGGGTACAACTACGGATTGTGTTTAAGGGAGGACGAGTTCATCCGCAGGAGCTTCCAGGTGCGGAATTACCCTTGATAGGAAATCCACTTCGTCGATAATCTCCTAATTAAATGCCTCGACCTCTGCAGACCTACAACGAGGTGGTCGGCCGAGAGTTAGACCTGGTTAAGCCACCCCCGATGGAGACCCATCTCCACGTCCAGCAGCCCTGCACCAACCCTTTCCACCACCACCACGACTACGACTGGTAACGACGTCCCGACTAGACCAGCCAAAGTCTCGATTCGCTTTACGTGAAAGCCACGATCGCGTGGGAGAATCAGAGGGGGAGAGAGAGAGAAAAGTAAGGGAAAATAGAAAAAGAGATCAAGAGCGCCGGAAGAGCCGCGAGGAAGGGTCGCTGAAGATAGACCCCCTGACGAGCACGTTAATTAATATTATGGGGTTAATTAATATCCGGTGGAGCAATGGCGACCAGGAGAGACTCGATCGAGCGGAACCGCGGCGACTCCGATGCTGGATTTTTTACGGTTTAGCCTAGGTCAGGACGGGAGGACGCGCCGAAGTAACTAGGGGGGAGCGACCACGTGTACAGGCTCGAGGAGGAGAGCACTAGGTTCGTCGTTCGGTCTCTCTCTCTCTCTCTCGGAAATGCATGTACCTAACGACTTAACGAGACCCTTCATGACCGGGTCATACGCGAGACGCTCGTAATACTCGTGCTCTACTTGCTCCAGCAGCCGCGTAAGACGCTTCGCCGCTTACAGAAAGAGAGCGAGGCTCCTTACACCCCGGGGGTTACAAACTGTAAATCTATTAACCTACGAGTCTATCAATCTGCCGGCGTATATACATATTAATGTTTAAAAGAAACTACCCGACGATTAGACAAGTCCACCGCGCACGCGCGTTCCTAAACAATACATATGAATCTCCGTACCGATGGCCACGTCGACCTCGTATATACATAATATATACATATTGACATAGTTTAGCGACTTTTCGGGGAGCCTCGCGGTCATCGGCTCGGCGATTGACAAGAATCGATGTAATAAACTAAAAAAAATATATATATAGGGAGAGAGAGAGAAAAAAAAATAATTAACAATCGAAGGTAACGTTACAAGCGGCTCGTACAATGTACAGAGGACCCTTGAGGAGACGCAGATGGGTTAACAAAAGAAAAAGAAAAATCGTAAAGAAAGAGAAGTCTACTGTAAATACTCCCGAGAGCGTGGAAACGTAGAAGAGGAAGATGAAGAGACTCGTCGCAATCGTTTCTCCTCGTTCGACTTTTCTTTCTCTTTTTTTTTCTTTTTTTTTTTTTTTCTTTCTAGCTTCAAAGGTTCGTTGCGCGAATTAGATACGTCGTTATTAGCTTATGCCAGGCGCGGTCCTGCCGTAATCGCCGTAATGAGTTTCCTCGTGATAAGTGTACGATATAAAGAGATAAAGGAAAGGAAAGAGGGAAAAAAAAAAAAGAGCTTTAATCCTAAGTATGGAAATAATAGGGAAGTAATCCCGGGGAGGGAAATGGGAGGAAACATTTTGAGATAAAATTCGGGATATCATTACCTGGCCAGTACCGAGGCACAAGGACGCTGCTGTAACGATATGCATACGTAGCCGTATTCTCTCCGTCAGAGTTTACGCTGATTATAATTATAATCCTAAGGACATATAGTTGATTAATACACGGAAGTAACGCATGGCACCGGAACATGTATTGTGTGTGCAAGAATTGAATATACACCACGATGTTAGAGAGACTTTACGTTCGAGCATAGAGATTTTTACCCGTAATCGTGATTTCCGGCACGTCCTGTCCGAGTTGGACGTCGCAGGATCGAATCGTCATCCCGATAGTTTCTTCCAAATTTATTAACGGGGGTGGGAAGTGCAGATCGTTCCTATAGCGAGAAGAAAAACAAAAATTAATCCAACTAACCGAAGAGATATTTTCTTCGATTCTAATTAATTCGGCTTAAACGAGTCGTCGGAATTTCGGAACTGTATATGGAAGAAAAATTCGTCACTCCTTCTCCCCCAAAATTCGCAGCAAAAGAAGGAAAGGGCAACATCTTCAACTTGATCTCTCTTTAATCATCCGCCACTAAAGAACCCTCTATTATAACGTCAATACAGTTCTGACAAGTGGAAGAATAAAATCGTCACAACCTTCGTCCTCCTTAATTCTCTAGCCTATCCCACCTAAGCAGGAATTAATTATCGAGCGATCGCTTAACTCGATCGTCCCTTTTAATAAAACTCCCCGTTTATTCCTTGACAGTCCCCACTCGAAGGATGTTCTCAACGCTATCCTCAATTTTTCTTTTTCATTATCCCGGACGAATATATGCCACCCCGACGGAACAGTCTCTGGGCGGGCATTTTATTCTTAGGACACTAATTGCGCCAAGCGACTATGGCAATGTCGAGATACATATCAGATAGAATGATAATGCCTTGAATTAAATTATTCCGTTCCTAGATCGTAACCGAATAACTGATGCTAATTACATACAATTGCGACTCATAGACAGTGTTAAAGGCGCATTTCGAGCGGGAAAGAAAAAAAAAAAAATAGAGAAAGCGTGCGATTAGACGTGGAAAATGAATAAACGGCGATGGCTAGGAAACGCATGTGTCGCTCATAATAAAACGCGCTCTTAATAAAGAGTTAAGATTCACGATACTAAACGATGTAACAAAGTGTATGGACATTATGTGAAAGAAAAAAAAAAAGAGGAAAAACAAAAACCAAAGAAAAGAAATTCCATTACTGCGAGTTATCGCCGTAGATAAGTGTCCGTACTCGAGCGCGGCGTGTCAAAGCCCTAAAAAGTACCGAAATAATTGCACAATTAGCAGCGCGTACCGTACCGAAAGTAATTCCTCTAATCGGCGACCTAGCCTCTCCGTAAAACGACCGTTAAAAATCAAGGAATAAACGAAGGATCCTCGTCTTACGGGTACTCAGAATTTATTATTCGTTGCGAAGGACACTCCACGTGGAATCGTGTTCTCTCTCATATACAGAAAGACGACGTGTGATGTCAAAAGAGGAACGTAATCGTCATAATGCCCGGCATCGACAGTAATTACTTGCCGAAGTAGCCGAAAAACGGAATTAAAAAAGAAAAAGGAAAGGAAAAAAAAAAAAGAATAAGAAAAGAGGATAAAAAAAAAGAAATACACATGAGAACCATTCATATTATCACCTAATCACCGAGTTGACTCTTAATGGAAACCTCTAGGATCTCCGCTAGTACGAAACGAAAAATGGAAACGGATTCCTCGACAGCCTCGAGTTAACGTCGCGAAGAACTAAACGTGACATGTAAACTTATCATAGACAAAAAAATGCAAGGTATACGATCTATATACAAAAGAAGTATGCTTCAATTTGGCATGATAAGACGTAAAAAGAGCAAACGGCGCGGTCGGGTGGCCCATAAGTCGCATTCCGAGGCCATCGACGACGTTTCATCGAGATCGGACATCTCCACGAGCGCAATTTCCAGGCCACGACCGTCAACGGTCGAGTGATCGGTCCGATTAACCTAACCAACGTTTAAAACTATACCGCGAACTGGTTAAACTCCCCTGGGTCGAATAATTACCACTAGAGGCACTAGTCAAGCTTAAACTCTATCTGTCTTCGAGGGGGCAGGAGGAACATCCAGGCCCCCTCGGCGTTCGATATCTTTGGAGATTCGCGAAACCTTCTCCCCATCCGTAGCTCTACAAGATGCCTCGTGGATACGAGTTAAAGAGATGAAACACTGCAAACGATCGTTCGAGTCTCGCTAAGTGTCTAAATTAACGCGATTACAGAGTTCGATAAGGGCTTGGTTAACGCACCTATCACTCGGTGCACGCTCGAGAGTTAGACAGAGAAGCGCCATCTTGGAGGGCTTTCGGTGCGCACCTCGAATGATCGGGATTAACCAAGCCTTAACAGGGATTAAGGGGGCCCCGAAGAGCCGCAACGATCGACCCTAGGATCGACCTGGGGCAAGAAATGCGCGTGTACACGGTACAAGGGGCGCTCGAATACCTCGAATAGATCACTAACGTCTTCATCTCCCTTCCTTGACTACCTCCCTAGTTTCGTTAAAGTAAAGAGTCCCTAGCGAAGTCTTGGCCCGTCCCTCCGCATAGCGCCGAGCCTCAGGGTACCCCGGAGGCACGCTTAAGGCGACGTGAAAGTGCCCTCAAAGTGCTATACCGTTCATGAAACTTTTCCCCTAACAGGGTGTATCGAATAGTTTCTTGATAACGTGAATACGGAGTCCATAAAGAAGGTCCTGGCACCCATGAATTTCACTTGAAAAAAAAAAATTAAAAAAATTGGTTCATCGGTATTTTCAAAATTTCTCATAAAATATGAAATTCCATGAGGGTCAGGACCTTCCTTATAGCCCTCGTGTTCGTCTTGTAAAGTTAGAGACGGTTTGGTATACTCAGTTTGTGGAAAAGTTTCACGAACGACCGAGCTTTCGGATGGCACTTTCGCACCCCCTTAAGGGTGCCCCATGGTACCGCGACTAGCCTCCTCCATCTAATCCCTAGACGAGGCACTGTTACCAACTTGGGAACACCCTGACGGTGAGCAAACGATTAACAAGCTGCGGAGGCTCGTCGGGGTCTCGAAAGCGACTACGTCGCCCGGGCCATCGCGCGTCGTTATCCTGGAGCCGTGGGTGTTATCACCTAGCGATACTACTTACAGAGACGTGCAGGAAGGTCTCCGAAAAAGCGTGACCGAGAGGGATTCTCCCAAAAATTAAATTAACATCCGAATTAACGTGAAATCAGGTACACGGCCTGGTAAAAGAAATCAAAGCCGAAGACGGGATGTAAAAGGCGACCACATCTCGGGCCTCATCGGAGACCTTCCTGGCGGCGTGTCCGCTAATTACAGAATGTCCACGGTCCACGGGTATACATCCCCGTGTCTTAATTGAGAAATACCTAGTTATTAGGTAACCTTTGGCAATACCTCTACGGCATCGTTAGTACCGCTGGACTAATCGGCGCTCGATCGACGTCGAATACAAACTCGAGCGTCCAGGGTGGACGCGGAAAAAGTAGGGAAAAAATAAGAAGAGGGGAAAAAAGAACATGGAAAATACCGCAGCCGAAGGTTCTACCCGGGCGCAAAAGTGGACCGACATCGGGCAGTGTGTCACTACGGCAGAATTGCATTAGTAATAATACTGGCACAGTGAGGCAATAATCTTAGGACTCTCTAAGCGACTAATCGAGGTCCAACACCTCGCGCTTCCTGGACTCTACGTCGACCTAAGCGTTCTAGCTCTTTCTCCGTCGCCGCCTCGCGGGTTCAACTTCTCCTCCTCGAGGATATACCGTATACGAGACGATCGACCTTGCATAATTACAGGGATGGGGACGGCGATCGGTGCATCCGCGTGCACTCCTAAGCATAACGCGACCGTGCCGCTCGAGCGAGAAACGAGAATCTTCAGCGTGGAGTAACGAGCGTCCTCGGGGCAGCTCCAGAGGGGAGCAGACGCGACTCCCCGAAGAGGAGCCCTCGCCGATTCGCTCTGTCCCGGGACACAATTGCTGTACAGGGTGCATCACTTGAATGTACATTCCGAACGCGTAATGGACCACCCTCCTGGTATGAATGCCTAGCTCGAACAAACGGCCTGCAGCTGCAGGCGACGCTTCATTTCTCTACCTTCTCCCCCTTCATCTTCCCTCTCCCTTTCGGACATAAGCAAGACGGAAATGGCGCCCGTCAAGGAGAAACTAACACGTCTGTTCATCGCGGGATAAAATGGAAACAAGGGCTCGGCTATCTCGATATCTCTTTCCCCTCATTTCGCGCCCTCTCCAGGGACGGCAATCCGCGCTCATACATCGGTAATATCTCCGTAATGACTTTATACAACGCATTGTTTGTCTCGCTACGAAGCGTGACGCATTCGCGCCATCCCCGATAGCTCCGGACGAAGAGGCAATCTGCGGATTCCCTCGCGTTCCCGGACCTCGCCCAACCTTCGTTACGGGTCACAGCCTTCAAAAAGTGTTACCGAACGCACGATATATATATATACGTGTTATATATGCATATGTATGCCGTTTCAAGATAATGCGCCTCGAGGTTCCTAAAGCACTAGGGAGTACATGTCGCGAGGCTAAGAGTAGAGACTCGCGGCGTGTTTCGAGAAACTGCAGCTTAATAAAAGTCCGAGCTCCCTTACAGCGGCCTAAGCTTCGCCGTCTACCGGAAGAACCGCGCACCACGGCGAGTGGAAACGAAAGGAGGAAAGTTAAGATACCCCGAAGAGTCAGTATTCGGATTTCTGGGATCAAGTTGCGATACCGCTAACCGAGAATCCTGGTAACTACGCTCTGGGCTCGTGTCTGCTCGCGACGGGGTAGCGCTAGCGGTTAAAAAACTCATAAGAACCATGAGGGATCCTGATCCTCATCGAGTACTAACGAGCGCTCGGGCGCTCCGAGTGTAGCCCCGGTGTCTTCATCCCGGTGGATCGAGACTACCACCCAACGATCTCCTTTAATTCCTACGATTATGTTAACGCCGTTACGAGGCTAATACAAGAGATATGTGCTGACTCGTGTAACTCCCGAGAATCGCGACAAGGTTTCTCACGTAACGCGTCGAAACGAACGCAAAGTCTAAGGCCGCTACGCGTTTTACTTCTCGTGTTATTCTCCGCCTCCCTTCCCACCCCTCGAGAGGACCTACGACGAGAACCTAAAAATCCTGCCTTAATATCCCTATACCAGTCTAAAGATTCGTCGAAAAAATTGACGAAACGTCCGGCGACGCGGTGCCGGGAATACGTCGCGGGCCTAGCTGATAAAAGTGGTCTACGCGCGAAACGGACGATTGCGGCGGCCTCGTCGTCGTCGTCGGTTGCCGAAGACTACCTCGAGGACCGACACTTTTGGGCACTGGTTTTCCGCCGAGCGTTCCGTTCCTTGTGCCGCGCGCGGCCGCTCTTCAGGGCCGGCTCCGGCTTCGGGGCCTGGGCCGGGCGGCGCGCGCGAGATCCTACGGTTTATGCTTTACTGGTGCCGAATTCTGCCGAGACGTGACACGCCGAGCGAGCGGTCTATTTTACGCTAGGAACTTCGTAATCCCTCGCCGCCCGGTTGATGGATCCCCGGGACAGTCCCGAGACCTCCTCAAGTAGTCACATGTCGACCTCGAACATGTCCTGCTCGATCGGTTTCTTCACCCAGCTGCCCAGTTGCGCCCTCACAAATGCATCCTTCAGCTGGCGTTTAGCAAGCTGAAGAATAAGAAAAACACCTCATAAACAGATTCCCGACATGAATCGAACAGCTCTGTTGCATCTTCGTGGGGTACTCCAGGGCCCCAAAAAAACAAAATGGACTTACAGAGTAGTCCTGCACGGAAGACTTGGCATCCAGATAGATGCGGCACTCGTTTTGGTCCGCGCTGTCGATAGTGCTGAGCTTCCCGAGGAGGCTGAAGAACTTCCGGAAGAGGCCTTGCTTGGAGATCCTGGAAGGCTTGCCCAGCTCGTCCTTGCCCGTCGTGCAGTTGATCACCTCGGCTTCCGGCTGGCCTGCGACCAGCGAGATCCATTATCGAGAGATGTACGAGGGTCGGTTCCTCGTGCGAGTCTTGCCGACCTATCGAGAGCGATTTCAACCGCGCTATACTAACCGATGGTCCAGTTAACGCTATAGTTAGGTGCCTTCCCTGGCTGCCGTACTTCGGAAGACGTGATTAAACTCATAAGCGGCTTGTTGAGTCTGTACGGTGGAGGCAGGCCCTGGATCGTGTTTTCGAGGCGACCGCACACCGCGCGGTACATATGACCTGGGTTCAGCAGGCTGCCGAGAACGATGCTGTGGAAGTAAATAGGCTCGATGAAGTGGCTTAGGAGTGCACCTTGTACGCCAAGTACGTTCCATCGAGCTATTTTGTCCGAACACGACATCGTCAGCAGTCTCTGGCCCTGGAAAATAAAAAACAAACGAGAGTTCAGTGACCCGCCGATGAGGGTCGACCTTGATCGCAACTTCGTCAGGGTGTACCATAAGAACGCCGTCCCAGGTCTGGATGCCCTCGCTGCTTTTCACGGGAATGGTTCCTTCGCCCGATTCTATCTTCGTCCTCAACTGGCCCCTGGCTCGTCGGTTGGGATGCTTGTCGACGGACTCGTTCTCCTCGTGGGGCGAAAAAATCCTCGCGTCGCCGCAAGGGGCCGTGTTTATGTACAAGTGGAACTGAATACCCGGCCTCACTTTGAACCCCTTCTTCGCGGAATCCAGGATGGACTCGTCGCCCCTATTCTGGGCGTGCAGGTCCAGCTGATGATATAGGTACTCGCAGAGACAACGACGAGCGACCACTTCCGCGTGGCAGTCGTTCAGGGCGCTCCCACTGACGCTGAGGTGCTCCCCGGAGACGCACTTGGTACCTGGGGAACCAACGGAACGGACCTTAAACCGGGCTCTTCGACATCGTCCTACCCATCCACTCGGCGTCCTCCAACTATACCTAGGACCGAAGGGGATTGGGAATGTACCCTGCCTTACCTGTCGTTACACAGATTAATTCTGCATCGGAACCCATCGTCTGGACGATGCCAGCGAGAACCTTACGTCTGGCGTGCTGAGGCTTGCCCTGCATCAGCTCGGTGAACTTCTGGTTCACCATTTTCCCAATCTTGTCCGCCAGCATCTGCGGCAGGTTCATCTGCTCCTGCCAGTGGACAGGACTGGAGAAGTTCGGCACTGCTCGTGCTGGCAAAGGCATGCCGAACGAGGAGCTATGGACGTTCTTCAGCTTCGCCAGAGCAGCCTTGCTTGCCGCTGCCTTTGCCAGCTTTTTGCTGGGTCCGGTCCCCTCAAACGTCTCCCCATCGATCGTCACTGCTATTGTAAACTTTGCGTAACTCTCGCCACTGTCCGAAATGCACTTATACACGACTCCTGGGTACAGTTCGTTGATCAGGGCGACCGGCCCCTTCTCCAAGAATTTATTCGTGTTCTTTGGCTCTTGAGACACCGTCTTGAATGCGTTAACCAGATGGTTGTCGCGCTCCGTGACGTCGCTCGTGAAATCTGGCTCCAACGGGATGACCGGATGACACGTATTGATAGCTTGATGTACTTCCGGTGTGTTTCTGAATTGCACGATGTTCCTTAAAGCGAGTTCTGCGGCGGCATGCTTGGCCATCTTCTTCGTGCGACCCTTTCCTTCGTACGTCTGTCCATCGATCTGTACCGCTATGGTAAATATCGGTGCATGCGTAGGTCCGGTCTGACCTACCACTTTGTATACGGCCCCTGCCTTCAATTCGTTCAATGCACATACCGCGTTCTTTGGCTGAGGATTTTTGTGTCTCTTTTTCGCGCTCGGGGCACCTGAGAAAAATACACAAAATACCTGAATCGTAAGATTACACCCAACGAACACTCAGAACTACGGTACCTTAATTTATAAACAAAACAAAAGAATCGTACGCTTAGACCAAAGAATACCAGAACCAAAACTCATTCAAACCATTAAACCCGATTAAAAAAAATATTGAAATATATCATAAAACACAAACAATAAAACAAACAACCAGAAATGCAACCTTCCTAACTACGACGATCTAGAGATCGCAGCACACGATTCGTTCGACTTTTGAATTAAAAACAAATACCAACGTCGTTTAAATAGTTTCAAAACATTCAGACAAGGTCTCCAGACAATGAGGAGGACAATCCAGGCATCAACCCATGCGTGCACCATGAAAAACTGACCTTCGCCATCCGAATCAGCCGGTCTCTTAAGAGCAACCTGCGAGATGCTGGACTGCTCCATCTACAAGGAGAGCGTAATGAGTCGAAGAACCAGTGGCAACAAAGTCTCTCTAAAAATAACCTTAATTGGCTGATACTCACCCCAGTCGAGGGCCACCCCTGCTTCCCCTCCGCAACGGCGGCCGCCGCGTTGCACCCTGCAAACCGCCGAATAGGAAAGGTGAAAAATGCAGGGCCGCCTGCGAGGGAAAAATCGATCAGGGCCGTCGTACCTTGCATGTTCTCCCGATTCTGGGCCTGCCTGCTGTTCAACACCGCAATCCCGTTCGACATGATGGACTCTCGGCGGATTCCTAGAGACACTCGGCGGCCCTAAGAAACACCGCACTTGCATTGATTTCGATTATTCTCGGCCAGCCGATGTCCGCAGCGCCGCCCGCCGTTCCGCCGCGCGACCGACCTAACCTAGCCCTCGTTCGCAGTCGGACGCGCAAACGGCAAGAATTCCGCGATGCCAGGAGCCGAGTCTCGCTTCCTCGCGGCCAGGAACACGGGACGGGGTCACGGAAGTACCTTAAGGGTCGTATCTCTGCCTTCCGTGTCGTGATTCGGAATAACGAGCGCCCTTTTCGCACCTGCGCGCGAGTTTACGAAACCGAGACCAACGCCGCGCTACGGCGAGATCTCCGCATTCCGTTGGAGCCGGCGATTGGCCCCTGCGGCGTGCCGGGAAAACAAGATGGCGGCCGCGTGAAAGGAAGAGAGACAAAGCTACCTCAGGATCGAACTTGAAATCAAGGCGCCCCGATAATGACTTCCGGCACTGGAATTAAATACTTTCAGATATGAAAAATGTCAGGCAAAGGATTAAGAAGAAGGCAGCACTCGATTTTTGCATGTACTTATAGAAAAGGAGGAATAGACCGATGCAAAAGCGAGCCGAAAGACAGCGTTCCTCTCGAACCGCGGTCACGTGACACGGAAGGACAGAGAGATATGCTCTCCGTACGAGAGCGAGAGAGAAAAGAATACGACAAGAGTCAGGATCGAATTTACAGCAAGGAATTCTCTCTGGTAAAATATTGTAATTACATTGAATAGCATGGAAGTGCCCCTAATTATTTAAATTCCTAACCTTTAATTTCCAAGACATACCGCCTGGATTATAAATGGAATCAGATGGAATATAAACCCCGAATCCTGCGCCGCTCGTGGCAGGACGCTCTCACCATTGAAACATTGAAACACCCGCCGGTAAATTCCACCCCGATGATAAACCTTCGACTGATACGACGGCGGTAAAGCTCAAGCCTAACCACCGGAAACATCTAAGGCACATAAATCAGCAGGAACGGCCGCCACCTGCGCCTCACACCTAGGATACACCCAGGACAAGCCCCTTCCCGATGATCCCAGTTTCGTGCCTTAACAGCCCAAGATACGAAAAAACCGTCCAGACAAATCTCCTTCCCCGCATCTTCCTTCATAACTTTTATTCGAAACGTTTTTCTCTGCGGGGCAGCGTTAACCCAAAAACCGGGGCTCATCGCCGCGCACCTCGGTCTGATTAATCGCGCGCTACACCCACTTGATGGGACGCGACGCATCCCCCGCAGCGCGCAAAGCCCTAGGACGTATCCCACTCTCAGACACATTATCTCATTACCGAGAGTACCGAGAAGCTTTAGACAACCATCCCGACCATGCGAATGGGGCGCTCGTTATCCCAAGACGCAATATCCAGGCCGTAAAAAGGACGTTACTCGTCGGGCAAGGATCGCTGCTGCAGACCGTGTTTCAAAGCAAAGGGCGGCCGCCATTACGCCGCGATCAAAGGAACCATTAATTCGCGCGATTACCCGCTAATTGTAGCGATCCACGTCGGGAACGAGAGGAAAAAAGGGAGACGGAAAATTGCCTGGCGAGGCGACCTCGTCGGGGAAATTATAAGAGGCCAGGCTCGAGGACCTTTTCTCTGGGAGTCGGGACGACGATGAGGCACTTCCTGGGACTTCCAGCGGCCTCCTCGGCTGGCTGAGAGGACGAAACTTCCGATATCATAATTCCCCCAGCTTTGTACGACTCTTTCTAGCCCGACTCGACTAATCGAGCCGCCTTAATTCTACAGAGCCTGGCTTTCGACCGAGTGGGGTGGCCCCCCGCGAAGAAGTTCTGCAAGAGGCACTCCGCTCACCCCGAAAGTAAGCTCACCCTCTTCTCGGCTGTCCCTTGCACTCTCACCTGCGGCTAATTACTCGCAATTGCAGACTTTTACCGCTACGAAAGGGTCTTCCATAAATTCGGCCAGCTCCCCGACGACGAGGAGTTACGACGCTACCTGGCCTGCCTTGCAGTGCGGATGAACCCGGTACACCTGAATCGATTTCTCATTCATTAATCCAGAAACAGGATGTGACACAAATTCGATAAATTTACGGCGCCATCCTTGTTGAAAGTGGAGTCGAAAAGTCCCGTACAAGTTCTTCATTACAGTGCATGGTTTCTCTGTAATAATTCATTCAAACGGGCTAACGAGAAAATTCGCTAATGGGTACAATTTCCTGATTGGCGGTTTCAATTCATTATTACAGGCGATGTACGCACTGTAAAGAAAAATTGCGTAGACCTTTTTGACTCAGTTTTCAGCAAGGGTTGCAATGTGTAAACTGTGGCCATCGATTTTATTACGTCCTGTACTTTCTTTTTCATTTATTTGGTCCATTCATTACAGCTTGCACTTGACGGTCAATTGTCCCTCGACTGGCGCCAGGCCAGGGCAATTTTCCCTGAAAATAAAGCTTACTAGTGCCCGAAACAAGGTTATTAATTACTCAACGGTCGAATTCGATGGATCGATGTTGGGTAATTTTTAGATTTAATTTCGGATTTCGGATTTCCAGCCGTGGACAAGGATCCATGCGAGAACGCGAGTGCCCATAAAGGGACAGCGACGCGAGTACGAAAATCAAACGAATTGTTGCATAATAAATCGTAATAAATTAATAAAAAGTGACGTCGACATTCCGTTTTTCAGGCCCTCCAGAAAATCGAGCTATTATCAACGAATTTATCCGCGTGGAAAAGCCTTCAATAGAGCCGAAAGAGAGGGAATAAAATCATTTCGGGATTCACTCCGAAAATGAGGCTGTAAATCGCGAGGACCGTTCCCGCCAATAAATACTCGATAAATTGCACATTCACAGTTGCAGCTGAGCGCATGTCGCCCCGTCCTCGTAAATCCAACTCATTGACGCAAGTTAAATATTCCCCTCCAGAAAATCCGGGAGAAAAAAAGAAAAGGCCCGAATCGGCCGACTTTTAATCGCCGTCAATCGCGACACGGATTAGGCCGGACTTTTACGAGAGAAGGCGTAATGATCGATGGCTAAACTCCCGGAGGGCTTTAAAACCACAATCGGCGGAGTAGGTGTTTCCATTCGGGTTGAAAATTCATTCCGCTGGAGCCGAAGCGAGCTTACCGAGTTTCCAGGATGAGGGCGGAATTGCTTCTCTGGGTTTTCGTAGTCCTGGCCCTGTCGGTAAGTCCTTCTTATCAGAGCCGACAGATAGACCCATGAACTTTAATTCTTCAACAAAACCATGCCCTAGGTCCTAGCATGAGATAATAAAATCACGCCCTGTTCGATTAAAAAATGGATTTTAGTTGTGAAAAAAAAAGGGAAATTCTTGAATCTTCCCTATGACGAATGCACGTAACCCCTTAAGGCTGTGCAAGCTCGAGGGACTTAAACTTCGACTCGTGTTTCCTCAGTCCAGAGCTCTATCGATTTCCTCGTTGCAGATGCCTGCGAGGGCCGATATTCGCCGAGAGTGTAGGAAGCAATCCGGCGTTTCTTGGGGTAAGTCGAAATCAAGTAAATAAGCAATGCCGACAGGTAAGGGAGGCCCTTAAATCCCAGGTGGAGGCGCCGAGGGCGCCCTTACGGCGGCGATCCTGTTAACGAGACCTCCGGCTTGCGTTCCGGCGTATCTTTTTACGGGGCGTTTTCGCACCCCGTTACGATACGGCCCATAATAACGGGCGTTATCGAGCGCCGCAGAAATCGTTAATTACCGGCCTCGAGAGCCGTAAGGCCGACCCCGGACCTTTGTCCGCCCCGCGTTTCTCGCCCGGTCAAAGGAATTCGACGTTAACTCGATTTTCGATGAAAATCCAGCGCGGTTTACATGCCGGTAAAGGGGCGCATCCGCTCGGAAAATGAGGCGAAAAAGGGGAAAAATAAACGCGACGGATACCTGCACTGTTGAAAATAATGCAAGCCTGGAACATATCGACCGATCCACCCTAGAGAAAAAAAAAAAAGAAGAACTGGTTGACACTAAGAAATATTCATTGTACCAACGAAACCACGTGGTTGAACGCGCCCGAATAACTGTCAGAATGAGTTAAGAAAATTCCCTTAAACCAAGGGCATTACATTCTTTTTTTTCTTGACATAATAATTGTTCCTTAATGTTGAATATGACTCAGCCGATGGTATATTTTCCTCGGTCAGCCGATCATTTTTTTTTTTTCTCAGGGCATTTTGACAGGAATTCTACTTTCATAGAATACTTCTATGAAAGTAGCCGGCGGATGTTGTTGCCTTGCAAAAATCAGCGCTTAATTGCCGAACTCCGATCGGATCCTGAAGGATCCCTCGGTGTTTTAATAAGACGAGGTAGTCGAGGCGAAAACGGCTCCGGTGCTCCAATTAGCGGCTAGATAGAAAGCATGAACTTTCCAGCTGCCCTGAAGAAACTCAAAGCCGGCGACTTGGAAGTAACCGACGCGAAGCTCAAGTGCTACGTCAAGTGCTTCATGCAGAAAAATGGATTGGTGAGCGAGACTGGCGACGTCGACGTCGAGAAGGCGGTCAAACACTTCCCGGAGAACCTGCAAAAGGACGCCAGGAACGTCCTAAGACGCTGCGTCGATCGTCCCAGTGAGTCTCGGAAAAAGAGAAAATGAAATTGCACCTAACGACCTTCCCTCAAAAAAAAAAAAATAAAAAAAAAGACACGCATTTTAATTTTCAGAGAGCACCGAGCCCTGCGAGAAGGCCTTCCAGGTGGCGAAGTGTTACATGACAGCTCATCCCGAAGTACGAGAATTAAGGTGATGCGAAACCCTTACCCCAGTCGATTCGGGAAAAAAAAAGAAGAAAAAAGCAAATTTCATTTAAAATATCCGATGAAACTATCTAAAAAAACATTGCAATTCGACTCGTGAGTACAGAAAATATGTCTCGACGCTTGCATAGATTTAAAAAAATTGAGACGTCAAGAGTGTAGAAATTGTTCCTAGGTGCTCACGAGTAGGGTGGAGAAGAAACGTCATGTCGATCGATGAAATTCCCTTTAAAATAATATCCTAGAGTTCTACCCGACAGGTTTTGGGGTTTCGCGCGGCCTTAAAAGTAATTACTATAATTATTTCTCTAAGCGCCCTTAACCTCCCTTCGGTTCCAGGTCTTGAAGCACGTGTCCTTCGTGTAAGCCCGCCGTTAATAAAGCCGGAAAAGCCTCGTCATTTGTGGGGATCGATCGATCGAAAAATCGGCCTCGTCCTTCGACGTGGTCGCGTATTAACACGTGGACACGTGGGCACGTATCGTGTACACGGGTGTGCGTGTATCCACATGTGGAGGCAGAGCAAGAGGAGCCACGGTGCGCTTCGCGGACCGTGAACCTCGCGCTTGGCTCGTCCTCTCGTACAAAGGGGAGATATTTCACTTACAGCATCTTCGACATGGCGCCATACTCTATGTCGGGGACACTTCGACAAGAGAAACCTGATTCTCCCTGCCGATCCTCCGAGCGTCCCGGCGCCCGAAATCGCTCCTGGCGAGTGTCAAGACGTGGCCACGAGGTACAAGATAAATGCATCCTGCAGCATCCCTGCACTCAAATCCGGCCACTAAATCTGGCAGCGAACAGGGCACCTGCATTACTTTACCAGTGCCAGAGGAACGAGTACTTGCGGAACGAATAAATGCTTCAGCTAGACATTTTAGCGCTTCCGAAATTTAAAGATAATAATTCCTTCGATATTTTTCTTTTTTATATTTTTGATATGGGGAGCACGGGGCGAGAAATAGAGCGGCCAGCAGGGCCAATTACGGGACTCCCGTCTTCATGCGAGGAAAAAATCGGGAACGGGGAAATAATTTTCCCGAGGGTCCTGCTGACCGGGTTCATTTTCCCCTTTCCGGCGATCGCTGCCACTCTGGCGTAACGAAAATCCCTCGTGGTCTCTGCTGACTTCGAAACCCCGAGGGGTGACACTAATTAATCGGCCATTTTCACGGCATTACTTTCCTCCCGTAATTCCTGGAGGCCGGTGGGTCTCGAGTATCCAAAATGGCGGCCGGGATTTACTCCGGTCGAATTTTCACCCTCCACCCTAGCCGAAAGTCGAAGCTTCCCAAAGGACCCTCGAAACAGGGAGGAAGGAGAGCTTACGTTTACGTTTACGTCCGCATTTCCGGACTGGAGAGGGTTGTAAACCGCGGTCTTATGGGGTCGCTTTTCGACCCCATCAGCACCCCCGTAAGTCATCTCTCCAGCGATCGAGCATCCCGGGTGCACCCTTCCGACCCTTAAAATGCATGAAAAAATTCGACCACCCGAGCATGACAACATTTCAACCCCCAAAAAAGAAACTGATTAAGGCGATATAAACGCGGCCTCTGAAAAACCCCGTTTATGAAACATGTCTCCAAACTGGGTGTACCGAATCCTGTGAACACGGAGGCTGTAAGGAATGTCATGAAATGCAAATTTTTCTACGTAATCTTAGAAATGTCTTTAAACGAATCTTTGTGAAAGGGGTCAGGACCTTCCTTACAGTCTCCATATTAAAATTGAAACGATTTGGTACACCCGGTTGGGAGAAAAGCTCCATGGCTATTGATGGAGGTGCCACCTTAAATCGTCTATTCGAGGTTTCCGGGATTCAGGATATTTTTTCCTCGAAATTTCTTCGGATGGCCTGCGAGCTTCTCCGCAGCGTCCAACTTTGGGGCGGGCCGAGGGTCAGTTTTCGGCAGCTTTTGCAGCCCTGCAGCGAGCTGACCCAATTCCGGAACGGGAAAAGAGCGAGGAACAGCCGGGTGGGGCGACTCCCGGCTTCGATTTCCGAGCTTGCGACCGCTTTTTCGGCTTCTCCGTGAATGCAATGTTTAAGGCCGCGAAACCCGACGAGGACGCGTTTCGTCTGCCCCCTAGGTTCCCCCTAACTTTATCGGGTTGCCCCACAAGTTGATGGATAAATCCCCCTCGCGGTGAATTTCTCCTCGAGATATTTTCGCAAAATGAAATTCGTCCACCCCGTCGAAGGAGATGAATTTTTTTCTACCCTTGCAAATATTTCCTACAACTCGAGATGATATTAAAGGCGCTGGAAATCAACGATTGGACCTGCCAGATAAATATAGGCCGACTCTTTCATATCGCCTTAACAAGGAATATAAAGAACGAGGGGAACAATTCCTGAAAGTCAAGCTTTACGACCGCGACGTCTTTATCGAGGGTCCCTTTTTTAAGGCCCGTTTCTGACGATTCCAATGTGCCTCGCGAGCAGATTTTTTCCTAGGGCATTCGAATCGACCATTACTATACGAGTCAAATCGCTGGCAGGAGGCCAATGCGACGTGTTAGCACCTTTTTGTCAAGAGACAAATCCGATCAGTGATGCGGATTGCAGTGCATGTGCAGCGGCCCGCCGTGCATCGACCGATGCGCGTTAACATCGCCCCACGAAGGATTCGGCAAAAAGAAAAAAAGGAAAATAATCCCTTCAAAAAAGAATTATCAAAGTGCACCATTTTATATCATAACTGGACCGGAGTGCCGCGGTTCGGTGAACCTTGCATTCTGCATCGGTAGAGAGCTTGAAACGTGCATATTAAAGATAAAAAGTGGTAGTTCTCATTTATCCCAAATACTTTGAAATTTAACCAAGAGATGTGTGGGCATTAAGCGCAGAAATTAAGGCCCATGAAATTCATCTTTTTTTCATTAAGAATAAAAAATTGCTTACAAGGGAATATTTAAAAATGAGATCTCATGGGCCACGTGGGAAAATTTCGAACGACTTGATACGCTGATTTACGAGATAAGTGTCAGAAATGAGAGCACTTTCAGATCGCCCTAATGACCGCATTGGGAGAGTCTTACGGAGGGTAATGAAAAATCGTTAAGCACGCTCGAATTTCGCCTCGGTCTTCGATTTTCGATTCATCTCCGGGTGATCACTTTTCCGTCCTAATTAAAAACTTTATTAATGGAACGCCGACCCGGCGAAGCTCGACGATATCCCGTCCAGATGCAATCTAAATGTTAAACCAGGTGCCGGGGCTCCTCCCGAAATCTCTGCACTCTCGGCTCTCCCTCGATAGCCGAAATTACCCGCGTTAAAATCGACAAAACCCCCCAAAACCGAGTAAACCCATCGGGTCATTTCCTTCCGCCCCTTCCTTCGATTTCCGGCGCGCCATCAGCCGCGTTCTCTTCCGTGAAGCCGACCAACCATGGACGGTACTCCAAGTCCACGTAACAGAAAACAGTCCGCCGACAGGGGAAAACGTTTTTCCCGGCCCGAGGGGCGCAAACTTTCCGGCTAACTCACTAAACGCTCCGCGATAACAGGCTTATCAAGCGCGTATGTACAACCGGAAGTCCCGAGGCCAAGCGAGAGTACGTAATGTACGAAGAGATCAGCTGATCTCTGGGGTTCCTTCGGGGAGAAAATGCTTTTTCAACGGTTGACGATGAGCCCGGTCAGAAATTCGCTTTTTCAAAGTCTGAATGGAAAAAAATGAAATTGTTACGAGTGCCGGTCCCTGCCTAAGGACCTCCACATTGACGTTAAAAAAAAGAAAGTAGAAAAATGTTTTAAAAAACGTTACATTGAGGGCTGAGGGCGTTTTCGGTTCCTTTGTTGGAGGTGTCCCGGCGGTTTCACCGTCCCATTAACAAAGTCAAGAGATTCCGGCGCAGATTCTGAAGGACGAGGGTGGACGTTCCTACAGGAGCCGGGTTGGGACTCGCTTTAAAAGCAGTCCATGTCCAGCGGCGTTCCGGCCATTACGAGGTGCAAAATGGAATTCCGCTGACGGAATTACGGTGGACAGTGGGTTGCTCGCTGATTGGTGGGCTTGCGGCCCCTCGAGCGTGGGGGAAAAAAAATCAACCCGGAATCCCTGGGGCCTCCACCTTGCATTTCGCCCCTTAGGAGCAACCCTTTTGAAATATTTATCAATAGAAGGACTTCTCGAACTCTTCCGAAGCTCGTTAAGGAACTCCCGGAACTCCCCTTTGAAGGGATTAAAAAGGGAAAAAAACTTTGGGAAATCGAAAAGGACCTGGCTGGGCAAGATGTCCTGGAACGTTCCCACGCACAGAGTCTTTTCGTTTGTTCCCACCTTTATGAAACTCCTTATTTTGTGAAAGCCACCGTAAGTTCGTACGTCATGGAAGAGACCCCCTTCGGAGAAACAAAATGCATTGGCTCTTACTCCTATCGTACTTTTAGCAGCCCTTTTAAACGTCTTTTAGTTGAAGAAGATCGGACCGCTGCCAAGAGACGCCATACTCATACCTTCTTTTATGATCGCTTTTAGGTAAAGGGCCACTTTTACGAATTGTAATACAACGTCGGAAATAATGTGAGGACTGCGTTAAATATAAAATCGGGTGAATGAGTTCTGGGGAGTTGAAAGTGGGAGAAGTGAGCCACCCTTACCGAAGATGCAAAGTCGAGCCCGAGGTTTGAAGTTGGCTTTCCGAGAGGGGGGAAGAGCCGAGGCGGAGGCGGCCTTGGGAAGAGAGACACTCCGAAGGGATGATCGGCTGAAAAGAGGGAGAGGGAGGAGGAGAAGAAGAGACTTGGCGACGGTAACAGCGCAGCATCGAATTTCGTCAACAAGGCCGCCACCTTCGAGTTCCCTCCCCGGCAACGTCGACAAAATCATCCGAGTTCAAAATCACGGTGGGACCCTCTGAGCGTCGACTTCCGGTGCTCCTGGATCCCTCAGAGATCCTCGAAAAAAAATTCCCAAAGCTCCCCCACGAAAAGGCACAACATGTGCGACCATTGTTCGTAAGTAGACCGGATTCCCGAATCGCCATAAAAGAATCCGTTCCTAAATGCCCCTACCCCATGAATGATAGGAGGAGAAAATAATCCGAATCTATTTTTTAAAGGGTGACGTTGACATACATTTTTATAAATACATTTATGATACGATAACGTTGGGTAAAATTGCCCAACTTCCGTTCAAGCCTTCGTATCGACGAGTCCTGATTTTTCTTTTCTTCCCCAGGAAAGTCACATCCCAAAAAGGCTACTCTGGGCAAGTGACGTGCAAATGCGAACAGTGAGTACGATCCCCTGTCCATTTCTTTTTCTTTTTTCCATGCCAAAGAAAATATCGGGAAGGGTTAAGCCATTTATCCGATTATTTGTTAATCGTCGTTTACAGCGGAGACAAGAAGGACGACGATAAGGACAAAGACAAGGACTCCGGGGGATGCTGCAGTAAGAAGTACGGAAACTCCACTTGTCCCTCATTTCATTATCGAGATTTAACCCCCACGTTTATGGAAAATAGAGTATATTTATTGTTTATATTTTTGGCGTGGATAGTTTGTATAAGGGGGTGGTCGAATATCTTTCGACGTTCGAAACCTATATGGCCGCCGCCAGGATTCAGGACTCGATTTAGCCTCCTCACCCATGAAGAAATATCGGCCATTAATGAACATTCGACTACGTGTACAGAGAGAAAAAAAATGGCGGGTGTTGCGGCTCTAAGTGCTGCGCAGGTACGAAGGAGGAACGAGGAGGTTGCTGCACAGGAGGTGCCCCAAAGGAGACCCGGAAGAGCTGCTGCGGTCCTGCCAAATAGATATTTCGGGATCGGTTAGTACCACACCATGGCGGCCATATGGGGTACCTCAGGAAATCCAAAATCTCGCCCTTTGAACTAGCGAAAGAAATTCCGAAAACTTTTCCTAGCCCCCCCTTTCAAAGCGAATACTGGATTTCCAGAGCGAGGGAGGTCTCCGGAGGTTGCTGTCAGTCGGGATGCTGCAAGGACCCCAAGGAAAAGAAGGAGGCTCCTGCAGGGGGCTGTGGCAAGGAGCAGAAGAAGGACGCTGGGGGGTGTTGCGGGAAAAAATGACTTTTTAGTAATTCGACGACTTACTCCTACTCGGTTATGGACCCTCAGGACTTTTAGATAAACCCAGGAATTATGTAACAATTCGATACGATATTAAATTTTCTCTCTCCTCCCTTAAAGTCGGTTCGAAGGAAAGCTCGAGAAAAGGGGAGGCAAGCAAGGGTCCGGAAATGTTGAATTCGTCCTGGAGCACGAATGCCGCGATTGGGGTTGCCGCCAGGACACGGATTTCAGGAAGCAGGGGGAAGGCGATTTCAGGTTTCCGAAATAACGTCGCACCCACTGGCTTTCCGGCCATGCCATAGGAATGGCCGGAATGGGATATCGTGTGGACGTGGAAACGAGCGGACCACCCCCTGGGGTGAACCACCCCATGGGGGGAGGAACGCACTTTCCTTGTATTCTTGTCACGGACTTCGGGATGCGATCCGCATCCCTGATGCACCGATCGGAGACCTTTCGATTTCCTTTCGGCCCCAAGGGTCGAAATTCCTCGTCTTCGATATTAATGCACTTAATAAATATGATACAATAATTATTAAATTTGCGAAAAGAGAGCTACGAGACCAATAAGCAAGTTTCACGGGAAATCGAGCTAGGATGTCACAACCAATGGTTAGGAATAATTAATTTACCAATAAATGATAATAAACTTTGATAATAATAAGGGACAGGAGTCTCGAGTGAAATTTCCCTCCCGGAATTCCTGGCGGGGGTCCCGCGGGACGCGCGGGGTGGTCGGCTGCAGTTTTGCTGGAAATTCCGATAATAAATCACGGGAGAGTTGGAAATGATTTCGAGAGGATCGATCCGGGCTCGTGTCGCGAGGGAGCTGGACCGTGAAAGAAGCCTACGAGGAAGATCACCGTCTCCGAGAGGCGCCTCCACCGTCTCCGCTCCGGCCTATAAATCTCCGAATAAAAAGTGACTCCGTACCTCTTTCTCTCAGCTCAAGGGCGAGATAAAGCTGTCGATCGATGAGCCTCGCGAGCTTTAAGGCCGAAAACGCGAGTGTCGTCCCTTTAAGGGGATGCGAAAGTGGCACGTCCAAGAGGGTCAATCGTCCATGGCACATTTCTCAAAGCTTGGGTGGTGGGTGGTGGGAGCTTCTTAGCTTAGAATTTCTTAGCTTAGAAACATGCCGTCTCACAAGAAATATAAAAAATGTCCCTAAAGAAATTTAAAAAGTAATTGAAGTCTCATCAACGCAAAATGTAATGAAATAAACGGTGCAATAAGATTTGCGCCCATTTTCTTTTTCAAGCTTCTTCGTCTCGGAGGACAACATGGACGTCCTCCTTCCGCCAATTAAAAGGCTACGCGACTTTCCATTTCCCGCGGAATAAAGGGCCACGACGAGTGGTTCTTCCGGTGCAATTACAGCGAGACAATGTAATCCGAAATAATGGGAACCTCCGTGATATCGGACTGGGGTAAATACCGGAGAGGCGCTTTGTGGGGGCGCGAGCTTTCAATCGGCTTCCATTTAAAGGAGCCAGAAACGAGGCCTTCCGCCCCAGGAAAAGGAGCTTTTACGTCCGGGCGTGAAGAAGCGTGCGTGGCGAAGCCCATCTACCGTGATTGCACAAAGGAAATCCCGAAGCACAGGAAAGGAGTGGCATTATTCGCACGCGGATATCCTCTCGGATGTATGGGGAATTTAGAATTTAATGCAAGATCGCAACGTCAAAAGCTGACTCGAAGTCCAGCCGATCGAAAGCGATGTTTCGATATCAAGGTACTATGAAAAGTGGGATGAAAGAAGACAAAAAAAAAGTGTCACATGTATATACGCGGGTAAATGTTCATATGGTCCTGGATGACGAGTGATAAATGACGGAGGGGATAACATTCGGGACGTGTCGGTGTCAATTGGGTGTCTCGCAACGGATCGCTGCTCGTAGGGAGCCGGCGAGCGATTCGCGCGAAAGCGCAGCTTTCAGGTGTAAAAATAAGCTGGCCGGCTTCCGGCCGGAAAGGCAGAAGAGATCGATCTCGGCCGATCGACGTCACCTCTGGTCCTCTCGCATCGGTGGCTTTCCCTTGGACCTTCCGCGAGAAGGTCGAGCTTGCACGGCCTGCAGTAAAGCATCCACGGGTCCCGGCGCAAGCTCGACGATAAGCCTCGCACTTTTATAGAAGCATAAACCGTCGCCGGCTGTATATTAAACTCCATTTCGGAGGGCGATCCTTAGGAATTAATACGCCCCGACTTGGGTTTATACGGCCCGAGCTTAAAATCTGAAACCGAGCTTCCCAGAAACCATAACGAGCCCATGGGCGACCGTCCACGTAGTCGGCGATGCCAAAAAAGAATCTCTTTCTCGAACTAAATAGTCAGATTTCATTGATTTGCTTCGGTGTCAAAGCAACAATATTCTATGGACAAACGGACTAAGATTTGATCTACTTATTTGTTCTTTCTCTTTTTTTCCACGGTGGAGCAAGACGAACCACTTCGCATTGGGCTGATAAAATGAGTGCTTCGGTCATCGCTAATCACTTTTCATTAGGGAATCAAGGTACAACTGCGTGGGCGATCTTGGAAGTCAACGAACGGGCAATCTTTTGTCCACCCCGCGAACGAATTCCCTTTGAAGTTCCGCTCTGCCGGTGAACCACGGCGGGCGCCTTTGTTCCCTGAGCTGGGAGATTTTAAATTAGTCACCAATTTAGCCACTTTCCGTCCTAATTAAATCGCCGATCCACCGTTGGGCCGGTGGTCGAATAATCGAATGGGGCTATCGCGAGTCGCTTCACCCTGGAGAAGAAAAGCTCGCTCGAACGACGCACTTACGTTCTGGTATTCTCCATGTATCCCCAGCAAGAGGATTAAATTGAGCTTGAAGGCCCGTTAAAAAGCTCCAAGGTACCTTTTTCTCCTTAGAAGAGACACTAAAAACTTTCCAATTTTTCAAATACTCTTAACCCCATCCGCGTGAAGAATGCGCGCGACATTCTGGAGCATCGTCCAGCCTTCTCAGTCCGGCCGGATGAATGGAGCTCCCCGAAGAGAGAGACGGAGCGATCGGCCGCGCCGCGAGAGCGAGTGAGAGGGGAACAGCCCGCGTTATCGGAGCTTGCGCCGGGTGCGTCAGGTGGGGGCTTCGCGTGCGTCTTCCCGAGCTTGCGATCGGGTGGCGGCGGCTGATAAGGGCAGAAGTGCGTGAGCGGTCGGGCCGCATGCGCGGCGAGCTTTCGCGGAGCTTTCCAGCCACGCGGCCAGTCTCTCGCAAGCCCGCCAAACTTCCGCGCCTCTCGACTCCGAGAACGGTCCCGTCTGAGTGCGCGACTTCCGGTACTTCCGGTGCTTCCGGTACCTCCAGTAGTTCCGCGAGGCCTTCGTCGCCAATTAAGCTCCCCACCTCACCTGTCTCGGGACCTGCACGGGTCCGATTAACGATTTTACCCCCCGAGCACTGGCAGCCCTGGAATTCCGAGAATTCCTCAAAAATGCCCGATTAATCCTAAATTCACCCCCGCAATTAATCAAATAATTTACCTGGTAATTCCCCGCGAGCTTTTCGGAAAACTTGATAACGGGGGCGAGTGATACGTGATACCGAGGCACAGTGGAAACGCACACGTGAGAGTTAAAGGGTCCAGGTGGATTTCCATCGTTTCGGGAGGATCTGTGGGGCTGGGAAAGGGGGTGGGAATAAAGGGTGCAGAATCGAAGAGCCTCCGGGGCCGAAGTAATCGCACGATTTGCATCCTAAGAGGAGGCTTCGGCTCGTAAAGAGAAGACTTCGTCATAAAGGACCCATTTACGTCGATCCTCACCTCGATTCGCACCTTGATGGCCTAGGTAATCCTCCGATTGTGAGAGGCCGATCGGGAGGTTCTCTAATCGAGGAGCGGAGAAGGCAAGAAGGGCGAGAAACGAGGAGAAATCCAAGAAACGGGTGGAAAGTGAGAGACGCAAAAAAAAAAGAATGGCGAATTGCGCGAAATAAGCGAAAAAGAAAAATATGGCCAATTGCGCGAAATAAGTGAAAATCGCAACGAAAAAAAAAAAGAAATATGGCGAAAGACTCGGATTAATTTCCCACCGACGCGCATGGACGAATTGGTATTAAAAGTAATAGTTACACTTGCGTACGTAGCTTTTGTCCTCTGCGCAGGAGTAGAAGACACCTCGAGGAGTAAAAAGGGATTTTTTTTTTTAATAACAATGCACGCTCGAAATCTTATTCAGATTACATTTAATTGTCGGTCAATCTTGTGATGAAATTATGCGGCTAAGAAAGTGATTTTCGCCCAATATGTCCGTAGAGTAATCCTATATGTGCGGCGGCGGGTAATTCGGCGACAATTGCGCGGACGATTTGCGGGGAAAGTGCGGAATTAACGCGGCCGGTCGGACGCGAGCTTCGGGGTCGGCCTCGAAATTAATACCGAGCGAATCGGTGTGTCGGCACGAGGCGTCAAGTCCCGTGGGAAACACGGGATTCCGGGAGCGGTCCGCGTTTTACGCCGCTAATTGGCCGCGTAAATAGATGATTGCCTGGAGGACGAGCATGCTAATTCGCGATGCGAGTGCACGAATCCCTGGAGGCCGCCATCGACGAGCCGATTAGCCACCCGGAGATTTTGCAAGCCTCGAAAAAGACTCCTCTTCCCGAATTGACAATGAACTTTTTTTCTCGCGTATGAATAGATTAAAAAAAAAATTCTGATCGTCAAAGTCAACATTTGAGGATCGAAGTCAACATTTGAGAATCGTCCACGAGACCGTCAGTCTCGCCTTGAAAAGTTGACAGTATGAACTCTAGGTCCCAGGACTCACCCCTCGATTCGAAGAAAAAAAAAATAAATAACCATTCACTCGGGGAAAATCAGGAAAAACGATTCTCGTCTTAACTTTCGAGGAAATTACCTCTTATCGTACCAATACTAAAACAGCGATCAAGTGTAAACGGAAATAATAAGAAATCAGTGTATCCATTTCGGACGCGCCCCTTTTCTTTCGCCGCGCGATCTCACCCCCCGACCCGGGAGATTCGCTT